GGGGTGGGGGGAGAAGGTGAATGCTGCTCACTGGCTTGCTCCCTATGGCCTCTTCAGCCTGCTTTCTTATACAACTCAGGAGCATCTGCCTGGAGGTGACACTACCTGCAACGGGCTGAGCCCCGTCACATCAATCACTAATCAAGAAAACGAACCCAATGGGTTTTCCTGCAGGCCAATCTGATGGAGGCACTTTAAAAATTTTCTTCCCAGATTACTCTAGCTCAGTGACTTTCAACCTTCCTAACGCTGTGACCCTTTAATACAGTTCTTCATGTTGTGATGACCCCAACTATAAAATTAAATTTTTTACTGTTTTATAACTCCAATTTTGCTACTGTTATGAATTATAATGTAAATATCTGATATGTGACCCTCAAAAGGGTCATGACCCACAGGTTGAGAACCACTCTAGCTTATTATTGGGTTGACAAACTAACCAGCACAGGGTCTAACATCCAAATCTAGATTTTTGTTTGTTTTTTGTTTTTCTGAGACAGGATTTCTCTGTGTAGCCTTGGCTCTCCTGGACTTACTTTATAGACCAGGATGGTCTTGAACTCACAGAGATCTGCTTCCCTTTGCCTTCCCGAGTGCTGGGATTACAGGCATGCCCCACCGTGCCCGGCTCTAAAACTAGATTTGTGTATGTGTGTGTTTTGGCTTTTTGAGACAGAGTCTAACGTAGTCCTGGCTGGTTTTGAACTCTCTATGTTGTCAAGGATGACCTTACACTATTGATGCTACAGCCTTCACTCCCAAGCACTGATGTGAGTCACCTGTTTTATGAAGTGCTGAAGGTAGAACCTAGGGCTTCAGGCCACCAGAGGAACTTTCTTTTTCTTTTCTTTTTTTTTTTTTTTTCTTTTTCTGATCAAAGTCTCCGTTTATTATTTTTTCTACATCCTTTATATAGGCAGGGCGGAAGGAATGCAATTGCCTTTGGCAGGGTTACTAAGTGACTAGGAATCACAGGATGACTCACCAGAGGGGTCACATGATGTGCTAATAACGGTGTATCACAGGACGCTGTATCACAGGAGACCCAACAAAGTCACAAGTTGTGTTAATAAGATTGTTTGGAAAGTTCCTCAGAAGTGTTACTCAGAAGCCCAGAGGGGGAAGGAGGGTTTAAGGTATTTCAGGAAGATGATCTTATAACACGAAAGCCCCAGGTCAGCCAGGAATGCACTATTGTCATTAAACCAAATGCCAAGAATTCTGGGGGGCAGCAAGGTGCCAGAAGGCCCCCCACAGGTCCCACTTTTATTTTTACAAGGCCATAATCCCAAGGGAACCATGCCAATCTTAGGTGGGAATCCGGGGTCTTCAACCCTTGCTAAGCCCATCATTGGATACATCAGCAGTGATTGGCTGAGCTCCTGCCTTTGGCGGCAACCAGGCAAACTTTCTGCTGGCAAGCTAGAAGTCTTTGGTTCCAGTATATAGGAGGTGATCAGGGAAAGCCATGAACTAAAGCAGATTAATGGTAGATTGCAGATTTCCGGAGTATTTTTCCCTCCATACCTACCTGAAGATTCCTTAAAACATAAATGTCTCTTCTCACCCCCCTCTAACCCTCTGCAGTGGTGGTAACCCTGGATCCTGACACAGCACATCCCAAACTCATCCTGTCTGAGGATCGGAGATGTGTGAGGCTTGGCGACAGGAAGCGGCCTATTCCTGACAACCCAGAGAGGTTTGATTTCGTTGTCAGCGTCCTAGGCTCCGAGCACTTCACAACTGGCTGCCACTACTGGGAAGTGTACGTGGGTGAGAAGACCAAATGGATCCTTGGAGTGTGTAGTGATTCTGTGAGCAGGAAAGGGAAGGTCACAGCCTCACCTGCCAACGGTCACTGGCTTGTGCGACAGAGCCATGGGAATCAGTACGAAGCTCTCACGTCCCCGCAGACCTCGTTCCGCCTCAAAAATGCCCCAAAGTGTGTGGGGATTTTCCTGGACTATGAAGCAGGCATCATCTCCTTCTACAATGTGACTGATAAGTCACACATTTTTACTTTCACCCACAGTTTCTCTAGCCCACTACGCCCTTTCTTTGAACCTTGTCTTCATGATGAGGGAAAAAACACAGCGCCTCTGATCATTTGTACTGAACTTCAGAAATCAGAGGAATTGATTGCCCCCAAACAAGAAGGAAAAGGCCATGCTAATGGAGACGTGTCCCTGAAAGTGAATCCATCCTTACTATCTCCCCAGGGATCTGAGCTTTTCCTACTCAATGATACCTGGCACTCTAACCTTGGCCCTGCCCTTCAGGGGCTCAAGGCTCCTTCTTTGTAGAGCTGTGCCTTGTGCTGCACTCCCCCGGGCATCCAGCCTGGCACCCTGGACTCAGGCTCCTGGCCCAGAGCCTGTTTTCTCCAGTACCAAATCTCCTTGACCCAGATCTAGACATTTCTGTGGTTTCTGTTTGAGCCCACTTTCCCCAGGGCTCAATTCTGAACTCTGCCTTTTTTCCCTAGAGACTAGACCTTTCCATTGCTCTGGTAGATGACTTCCTGAAATAAACAAAGCGTATACTTTAGAAGTCTAATAGGAGACACTGGATGGAATGCAGCAGGGTTCAGCGCAGGCTCAGGGGAAAGGGTTCCCTCTACCTCATTGAACCTCAACAAGCAGCTTCTCAGTGTCAGTGTACACAGTGGGAAGTTATAGCACCTCTCCCCCATCCTGACTTCTTCCATCAAAGCCTGCTCTTCTCTTTTCCCTCCATCAGGCCTCTAACTCCCGAGGCCAGCTTTGTTCGATTAAATGTCTTGTGACTCACACTTCCTTCCTTCTTTGTTCAGGATTAGACATGGAGGTGTAAACATCCCATGGTTTTCTATTCTCTTCATGTTGTTTACAGCATGGGTCGGAGACCCAGGGCACATGTTTTCAACAGCTAATTCGAAATGGAGACATCCAGAACGAACATGTTTTAAAAAAATTAACTTACCAGCTGGATGCGGTGGGGCAAGCCTGTAATCCCAGCACCCAGGGAGGCAGAGGCAGGCGGATCTCTGTGAGTGTGAGGCCAGCCTGGTCTACAAAGTGAGTCCAGAACAGCCAAGGCCATACAGAGAAACCCTGTCTAGAAGAAAACAACAACAACAACAAAATTAATTTACCTACATAATGACCAGGAACCACAATCCCAAGAAACCTCTGGCTGGTAGAAACAGGCTGGTAGGCACAGCTTTAACCAAAGCAGTCCAGCTGTGTAGCCTTGAGTGGCTCAGACTCTACAGTCTGTGGCTATGCCCCTCTGAAAACTTCATGACATTCAGAGAGGCCCAGGGAGAAAGAGTCGCAGTTTGAACCACTCACATGTACCCATAAGGCCATTATACTTTAAGAATTGACAATAGCCACCAGGTCAGAGGTTATTGTCTTCAGGAAAGTTGGTCTTATTTCAAATAAGACATCTTATTGCTGGGTATGGTGGTCCACAGCAGGTGGATCTCTGTAAGTTAGAGACCAGACTGGTCTACATAGTAGGTCTAGGACAGCCAGGGCTAGGTGGAGAGACACTGTCTCAATGCTAACCCCCACCCAACAATCAAAATCAAATAAGATATCATATTTGAAAGATTATAAGGTGAGACAATAAAATAACGAATTCAGGGCTGGAAAGATGGTTCATCCATTAAGAGCTCGTACTGTTCTTGCAGAGGATCTGAGGATCTGAGTTTGTTTTCCAGCTCCCATGTTGGGCAGTTCATAACCACCTGTAACTCCAGCTCCAGTAGATGAATGAGACTTCCTCTTCTAGCCTTCAAGGTCACCTCCAACTCACTGCACATACCTACACATCACACACACACTTTTAAAAAATTAAGTATTTAAACAATGAATCCAAGTTTTGGATGTGGATTAGAGAAAGAAGATAAGGCACTTTCAAATTATTCCCATGTATGTGATTTGGCCTATTTGTGGAGCTATTAACTACAGATTTGAAGGCAGACGGGAAGGGAGCTGGACCCTACAGGAACTAGATCTGCTACAGGATCTTTTCCAAAGCACCTGTCTTAGTGAGGGTTCCCTAGAAAAACAACTGTGTGTGTGTGTGTGTGTGTGTGTGTGTGTGTGTGTGTGTGTGTGT